AGAGTGAGTGAGTGAGAAGAGCAAAGCAAGAGAGGCAGTGTGTGTGTGCGTGTGTTCAAGTGAGAGAGTGAATGAGCAAGCAAGAAAGAGTGAGAGAAAGAGGACGTGTGTGTGTGTGTGTGTGAAAGAGTGGGGGAGGGGTGTATGAGGGAAATGTGTGTGTGTGTGTGTGTGAAGGGAGAGAGGGGGAGTGTGTGTGTGTGTGTGTGTGTGTGTGTGTGTGTGTGTGTGAGCGCCTGCGTAGGAGGGAATGTGTGTATTTGTGTGTGTGTGTGTGACTGTGTGTGTGTCTGACAGAGATAGGAGGGGGTGGGGGGAGAGCTAGGAGCAAGCTCTGCAAATGCTGTGTGTGTGTGTGTGTGTATGTGTGTGTGTGTAACTGTGTGTGTGAGTGTGTGTTACAGCAGCACAATATATGCCTGTGCTGAATGAAAGGGAAATGAATGCAGTGTGTGTATCTGTATGTGTGTGCTGTAGAAGAGGGTGTGTGTTCTTTATTGCAACAGTGTGTGCGTGTCTGTGTGTACTTTGTGAGAACTGTATAACTGTGTTGCTGTACATGCGCGCTGCTTGCACGTGCATGTGAATGTTTGTCTTCAGTAAAGATTGCGTAGCTATGCGTGTGTGTGTATGTGTATGTGAATTTGCTACGTGAATACACACACACACATGCACATATTGGGGGTATTGGTGCGGGTGATGAAGTGTTCATGATAGTGTGCGCATGCAAACGGAGCAGAATTACAATTAAACCGAACTCATTCACCAGCTCCCACATCTCCATACATTTTGTCTCCCATCCTTTTTGTGTCTTATCTCAGCCGAGCATCATTTCTAAGCTTCTTGATGATTGTTACATGGTCCTGTGTGTATCAGGACCTGTACTTTACTATTCTCAAGTGCCTCCATATTCCACCAATTCAGGATTTTCATCACTTCTTGAAAATATTTTAAACTTTAGCCATTAGCTTAAGTGTAAATCATGTCCCAGGCAGTAGCCCAGCTGCAGCATTCTGACAAATGTGGAATTATTGGATATTATCAGTTGACAAGGTTAGCTCATCAAAATAGCATTGGCTACAAACAAAGCCAAGGCCTACTACTCCAGATAAAATAATAGTTTTCTCAAAACCATGCAAAAGAAAAATGTTTAATAAAACTAAGGCTTTCAATATAGTCACAGAAATGCACATGTATCTGCTCCTCCAGTGATGATGTGTCTAGAAACTTGAAGCACTCACATGAAACAGACTTAAAATGTTGTGCTAGCTTATAAATGGACATTTTCAATATTTAGAAATAAAGCAAACTGCTTGAAACCAGAAAAAACCCTTTTTGCGGTGGATTCTTATTTTTACCTTGTGCCACATTCAGACAACAATTTACTGGCTCTGGAGAACAGCTGAAAAATGACACAATGGAAAGTGTGTGAGAAACACTGACTGTCTATAAAAGGTGGACAAGTCCAAAGTGATGTCAGCCACTGGTTTTCTGAAGAGCAGGAAAGAACAAGTCTGGTCGTCCACATGCAGTATTTCTAGCGCTTCACTCCACCTGCTATGGCTACTCCAAAAATGGGCAAAGAGGTGGAACATGAGTGGAGCTCTTTAGACAGCTAGCGGCCAGCCACCTGTGGTGGGACCGTCCTGCTTGTCACTCTGAGAGGCCATGCCCTTAATTAATGCATGGTTGTTTTTTTAGTCAATATAAGTTAAATGGGCAATTTATATAACCCCCAAGACACACATACAGTTGTCATGAAAGGGGAAATGAACTATAGGGACCAACCTGTAAATGTACCAGACTATAAACGTTTATTTCTGCTGTAAAGTTGGCCATTTTAACATGGGAGTCTATGGGGATTGACTCCATTTTGGAGCCTGTCTCAAGTGGCCATTTGAGGAACTGCAGGTTTTAACACTGCCACACTGGCTTAATTTCTCAGCCTTGGAGGTTTCTGCTTGGTGAGAAACAGAGGTTAACAGCAGTAATAATGTTAATACCGACTACACAAAATTACCTCTACAGGTAAGCCTAATAAGAAATGAACTGTCAGTGTCTCACCACTCATCTTATATAGTGTTGATTCGTGAGCATTTCAGGTCTATTGAAGGCTTGGAAGGGCTCCAGTTGCCAGTCACTCACCACTGTCTGTGCACAAAATGAACAGTATACCCAGGGCTGGATTGGTAACCTTGACTTTCTGTCAAAGTCCAGGCTGCTGGAACAACCCAGACTGAGTCCACAGCCTAAATACAGCTCAGTCCACAGCTTTTATTGAGTTTCTTTAAATCAGTCAGTGAAATGTTGGCCCCTCTGGTTTGGAGTATGAGGTAAATATCAGTGAAATAAGGTACCATGCTACTAAGTAATGTCACTTTTAGAGAGACGTTAGGTAAAGTTTCTATCTCATGATTATGATTTTTATGGCACTAGGAGAAAAAAAAATTGAAGGTAAGATATATGAGGCTTTCCATAAACGAAACCAAGTTAGTAAGGTCATTCAAAACAAACAGCTTGCTGCTGTTATTAATCTGTTTGCCTGGTGGCTTTTGCATGTGGACTGATATAATGAGTAATTAGCTTTAATAGAGAACTTGATTATGAATACTGTATGTAGGATATTTCTGTATCTCATAGATAGAAGTGTGTATCTGATTTATTTATATGTTTGGAGGCCAACGTAAACCTGTACTCATGTATTGAGTGCTTCATGGTTTGTAACAGTATCTGAGCAATTAAGAAGCTTAGCTGTACATAACTGAGAAGAGTAACAGATGTGGGGAAGTCATGTGTATGTACTATGTGAATTGTCTCATTTTGATTTGCACATTTATAAATCTGTTATATTAACACCATCCTGCTTTTGAAAAACTAAAATCAAATTGTATTTGTGCCAGTACTCTAAAATCTAAAACTAAAACTAGATTAACTTTGTTTGCAGAGTAGTAGTAGCATGAACATCTTTTTGTCTTTTATAGGCTGATGCCGTGCTAATTACTGGTTTGAATAATAATGTCAACTCTCCTAGCATTCATTTACACTCCATTATATGCCTTTTATTTGGAGCCCATTATTGTGCTTACCACATTTTGTGTCATGAATAAATGGTATTGAAATCATTTTGCACAGTTACTTGTGTTAAGCCTGTATTTAAATATGCATTCAAGAACACATTATGTTATGACAACAAAACTGCCAGGATCTGTGGATAAGACCCCTTCCTGCTTTGATAGTCTACAACGCCACCAATAAAGCCAAATCTTAAGACTCACTTTGGTGAGTAAAAGTTTCGAGGAGCCATTAACAAAGTACCGGGTCCATCTGGGAGTTCACTTTTGTCAGGGTAGAGATAGTTTATATTGTCTCTTGCCAGAAGCATTGCACCTTTGGACAGTTCAAGATCTTGTGTACCAAGGTGCTCAGGGTGCCCGGAGGAGAAGTTGTACAGTTCGGACTGAGGCTCAGTCCCATCAAGTATCTCTGCCAAAATATGGTGTCGTTAATTTGTGTTTTGAAAGAAATGATTTTGTCATTAAAATGTATTCTTCCCTCTTCATTTACATAGGTGTCATAATGAATCACAACTGACCGACAGTATTATGCAACAAATAATTGCTTTTGTTATCTTACTGTGGCGAGTTAAGTATTGTGAATATTGTGAATTACACACTGATTTTCATCCTCACAACTTAGCTCAGAAATCCAGGTCTTAGGTTTGCTGTTGTTTGATGTCCTCAGTGATTAGCATTTCTTAAAAAAAAAAAATCCTGCTAATGCATGTCATGTATAGTTATGCATAACAAAACTTTAAAATCCAGTTGTTTTCCATATACACTCAGATTTACAAATATTACACTACATTAACAACAAAACCGGCTGTTTGAATAAACTAACTAACAACAGCATTTACAAATGGAAAAGAGAGTTTTTCACCACTTAAATACTGATTATAGTTAGAGGTTTACTGTTTACTAATTCTGATGCTGATATGAATACTAAAATAATTTGATTTCTAATGAAATGTTGAATGGGGTGACAGTGTCATAGACACAGACAATGTAATGCAAAGGTGTGACACTTTTTGTTTCAATAAGATGATTTCGTAAGCAAGCTGTAGCACATACCTTCTCAGCTGTGTTAGACTGTTGTATTATTATTATTATGAAGCAAAGGAGACAAAATTATAATATGGTCTGTACTGAAAAACTGTTAATAAAATAAATAACCAATTATTCACATCATATGCATTGTATGTACAGTATTAGCAAATGTGGGTGCCATTCATTGAAACATCTGCAGCGTAACCTTGTTTAAAATCATCTTGAAATTATTTTTCAGATATATATTCAAGGTATTTTGACAGATGAAATATTTCTAATGAAATTTTATCTATAGCATCTTATGTTTGAGATTGTTACCAACAGATAAAATGTGGATGTTAAGCTGTCATTTGCTTATTTAGATAGTCCCGACCACTTAGGAGATTTAGACTACTGGGTTAAGAAGAAACAAAAGAAAACCATCTAAAACGTATGGAATCTTATAGGTGTACGTCACGGAAGTTATTATAGGGAATGTGTTAACCTGTTGATAAAGTGCGAATGTGGGCTTGTAGACAGTACTGAAAAATTAGTCTCTGCACAATAATATTGTTCTTTTTAAAAGATGAACTTCGCCCGAATGTCCAACAATTGTAGTTCAATCATTTTTCTCTCATTTAACGAACTAATTACTCTTGGAAATTGTGTTTTTTCATCTCGCTTGGTGAGCGCTTCCATTCCTCCGCAGGGGAAGCAACTATCTTTCTATCTATTAAAAGTTAGCCGCAGCTTAATATTTACCTCCTTCAGTGTGGGCATTTTAACACACTCTTGGAAAATCACTTCTTCGTCATCTTTCTGGCGATTGATAAGAGGTGATAGCTTAATTTATGGACTATTTGCAGCCTACTGCCCGTCGCACACCCCTCCGCTTTGCCGCAGTGGGAGCGGCTGGAATAACCTTGGTGTGAGCCAGTTGAGAGGCTGGAGAGCAGAGAGAGGCTGCACGGTGCGGTGGCTAAAGATCAGCGATTGCTGGCGTGAACATGGCGGAGACCGCACGCTCACTCTTCGACTACCGGGACCCACGCAGCCTGGACAGCGATGGAGACGGCGTCAAACCGGCACCGCCACTGCGGGGGTGAGGGAGTCAGTTAACCGTAACATATAGGCTGCAATAGTCGAAAACTATTTCATGATATTGTTTTGCTCTACAGTGACAGCAAGACTGGGGTGGGTGTGTGCGCGCGTGTAGGGTGTTGTTGATGGAACTAAAGTTGTAAACGTACATTATTTGCCAAGTTTGTCAGTGAAAACGGGTCAAGTTGAAAGGATTTATGTGAGAAAGTCGCCTGTTTGTCTCACGCTAGCTTGTTTTCAAATGTTAATTCTCCCCTACAAAGCAGCCCCAAAGATGTGCGCGCGCGTGCGCTGATTGCGTTCGTGTGGTTGTGCGCGCGCATGGGACGCATGCAAGTGTCTGACAGTGAGTTCACCTACTGAATCTGTTTTTGAGTGACAGTGAAAAGCCAATGTAACAAAAACACACAATTTTAACAACTCTTCATTTTGAATACTTTTTTTTAGCTAAACCCAAATACAGTGGAGTTTAATAATTTTTGTCTTGAATTGTAAATGATACGTTTTCAGGAAGATATCTCATAATGCAAATGTTCAATTTCACAAAATTATAAAAATGTTGGAATTAATATGTTGTCAAGTGCAACCCTATGTGTGTTTCTCTCTCTTTCTGTGTGTGTTTGTCACTTTGTAAGTGCACGCTTGTGTGTAGTGTCTGTGTGCATGTGTGTATGGTTGTGTGAGAGTGGGAGAGAAAGGCACACACACACAGGGAGGGGGAGAGAGCTGTGTGTGTGTGTGTGTGAGAGGGGGGAGTGGTGTGTGTTTGCATGTGTGTGTATGTGTGCTATAGCAGAGGAAGGAGGAGGGAGTGTGTGAGGGATGGGAGGGGGAGAAAGTGTGTGCGTGACAGAGACAGACACAGTGACTGTGTGTGTGTATGTATGTGAGTGAGAGAGAGAGAGAGATGGGGAAAGGGAGGGGGGAGCACAGTGTGTAAGGAGTGTGTGACAAAGAGAACAGGAGTGAGTGTGTGGTTGAGAGAATGAGTAAGTGTGTATGTGTTGGGAAGACAGGGTGTGTTGGAGAGAAAGGAAAATGTGTTTTTAAATGTGGTTTTCAGAGTGTGTGTGTTTGCACGCATGCATGCCTGTTATTGTTTGTGAGTGTGTGACAGAGAGAGAGAGCTAAAGAAATAAAGAGAAACTAATGGTGAGTGTGTGTATTTGTGTGTGGAAAAAGAGTGGGAAATAAAGGTGTGTTTATTGTGTGACAGGAGGGAGAAAGGGTTGTGAGAGACTGTGAAGGACGTGTGTGTGTATCTGTGAGAAGGAGCATATAAAAAGTGTATGTGTGTGTAGGCTATACTGTATATGTGTGTATGAGAGACAGAGATAGAGGGGAAGTGTGTTAGGCGCAGGGAAGGGGAGGGGAGAGTGTGTTTGCGCATATGTGTGTGTTAGGAGAGTGGGGGAGGGAATTTGAGTGTTTGTTTGTGTGTATGTAAGAGAGAGAGAGAGATGGGAGGTGTGTGTCCACATGTAAGCATGAAGGACTGTGTTTATGTGTAACCAAGTGGTGTGTGGGTTTCAGTGTGTTTTAGAAAGGATGATAATCACATGTATGATTGGTCGAGAGTGTGTCTTGTGTTTTGGATGGTGTTAATTGTATGTGTGTTGTCTTAAAAGTAAACAAATCATCTTAT